CTCTTAATATATGCATGTGATGCCGGCTGATTTTCAATGATAGCATAACTAATACAACTATGAGTTTTTGATTTTGTACCAAAAAGAAAACATACCACGCTGTTGTTGTTGTTCTTGGCACTCCTTAAAACAACTCATTTTTTCAACGAGTGGCTGACATTCCTTCCCTCCACGTTCTGCTTTTCTTACTATCGTCCGTTTTCGAGTTCTGACCCCGATTCCACAAGCTTCGCGATCCGGAAGGCAAGATGACCACGTCGACCATTCCGTTACGAAACAATCAGAAGCTGCAGTTTTCTGGCACATTTAAGGTGAATTTAATAAAAATCTGTGATTTCCTAGTCTTAAAGACATATATTCATTTTGATTATGTGTGACGATTTCTCTTAATTCAGCGATACAAAAGAGCTATCGCAATAATAGTAGCATCCAGAATAGATCCAGGAACCAACTGTTTCCGCCAAATTTTCCTTGATTTTCAGGATTATTGCAGAAAACTGTTTAGTTTTAATGCTCGGATGCTTGCTTCAACTGTGATTCATGCTTCTTTACTATTCCAGTTGCTTTGGCCGTTGTCTAGTGGACATTCTTTTAGCTATAGAGACATTCATTTTGTTTAAATTTACAGTATGAATGAAAAAATACTAACGTGGACACACGAAAGTGTAATCAGTGCAACAGTCACCGAATGCAATACATTTTTCGTCACAAAAGCATATACTGTCGTGAGCGCCATTCTTTTCCAGGAATGCTATTTTTGAGCCACCATATCCACGTAATTTTTTGCCCTCTCGTGAATCTTTGATAATTAGTGGAATGAGCTGATTTAGCACCGAATACCTGCGGTAAAAAATTCCTGAGTTTTACACTGTCTTGATAGCTTCTAATGCGCGAAATCTGATGGTCAGCATTGAAAATGTGAATTTTTTAGGTGTACCGCACCAGAATTCTAGCAAAATACCCATCTAAACTGGCAGGAATGATTTCAAATCAATGTTTTTGATCTATTTTCCAC